TTATCTAATATTCAACTTTGGATTTGATGTGCTTTTACATTCATGTTTGACCACTCGATTAACGCAGACTTACATCCAAAGATGTACTTATTGACAGATGTTATGTTGTTTGCTGAATTGCCTCTTATGCATTGCTCAAAAAGAAGTCCATTTATGCCTATTAGTAAAGGGAGTATCAAGTGATGTTAATCCAAACCAGTTGAGAAAGTTTTGATGGTTAAGTTAGGGGTTTTGGGTTTTGTTCTTTTCCTACTAATAAGGGAGTATATATTGATGTTTAACAAGCAACCTTTTTAATCTTGGCATACAATCGATCAATCCTTCAAAGTACTCTATGCGCCCAAAGATGTCAACCAATATAGGCAGAGTAAAAAGTTCATATTTTCCCCTTTTCTTTATTTACATAGCTCGGGAATGATTTATTAAATGTCCTCAAATTTAGCCGAATTAGAGATAAACAATTTTTATCACTACAAATTATATTTTCAAGTTAAGTCCAAGGGGAGGAGGGAAACTGCTATGCAAGTCTTCTTCCTAAAAGTAATTAATTGACACACTTCATGCCTAATTTAACAGCTCAGTAGAATCAATGAATTGAAAGCTAGCTGAGAACTGCTTTTGTTTAAATAGCCACTGGCTTAAGCCCAACTTCAAATTTTATGTTGCAAATCTTATTCGTACATAACATAGATCTTATTATGTCCCCTATTGAAGGGGAAAAAATGACAAAGCAGAAGATAAAGAAAAGACCATACCTTTCGAGTTCCATGTTTTGGTACTTTAAGTCCCTTCAAAAGAGATTCCCCAGAGGGACCCGCAACATTAAGTTTTAAACTTTCCCCCCCACTATTATGGACCAGAACAACCCGTTGTTTGGACCCTGGAAAGGAAAAAGGAAATCAGGCGTATTGCTTGTCATCAGGAAATATACCACTACGCTACTATATGAATTCTATACTAACAATAAGCAACAATACAAGAAACAAGTTCACTAGATTCCTCATCTTGTACAATTAGGAAAGAAAACTGAATGGGAATCGAGCTGATTAAACAATAAAAAATACTGCCTAGTACTTGCACAGTTGAAATTAACATCCATACTAAGATCCATTAGTCCTTAACACAGGAGCAAAAATATAGCATAACATCAAAACAAAACAAATAATTGATCATTCTATCCCCAAATAACTGTTCAATTAAAACCACTAGGTGATTAGGAAATTGCATGCAAAGCATTTGAAATGCGTGGAAATTTTGTCACCTTGCATACACCCACACACGTACAAATAGATGAATAGACGAAGATTATAATTTGATTATAACTTAGCTAAAAAAATTATGCTAATTGTACTACTATATTATTGTTAAGATGCCTTCATATGGACTTGTCCATTGTTTCTTTCAAAATGTATTTTCAACTAAAGGATATTGCTGGAAGTTAACCATGGAATTGCATTATCTATATTGTTAACCAATTACATCAATGTGACATTCCTAACCATTAACCTTCTATAAATATTCCTAATAACTTAGTCAAAGACAATACCTACATGCAAGGCAACACCAAAAAGGAAGCTAGCTATCATCCATAAATTTGTTCATTGTACTGAACTTCTTCATCCAACCTTAATCTAGCATCATAAAGAAACGTCCAACTTTTCCCAGTTTTTCTTTTAATTCTAATCTAGCAGATTTAACATTTGTAAACAAACACCCCTAGCCCTGTATCCATGCCCATGCATAGCTAGACAGTCATGGAGCAGTTCATAACCCTTATTTTCAAACATTTTCCAAAAATGCAACGAGCACTTCAGTAATGAATGTATGCATGCCATTTCTCAACTAAAGGCAACAGCAAAATATCAATAGCTCATTTTTAAATTCTATGTAAGCATTAACTCGCTTTCTATTCCTTGGAATTCCACCCTACCACCCTAATAAGCAATTCAAGAATGCTTCAAAAGCAATGCGAATTATCGGTTTGAAAACCATTAATGCAGGCAGTCAAGCAGTTGCCGTCATTGCAGCTGTTAGCCACCCCATCACAAGTTTCAACAATTCCCGACTGGGTCTCATTTCCATCCTCATTTGTCTTCTTTGGCGGCTTCTTATTCTCATCCTCCTTTGACACATCAGTCTGTTCAGTCCCCGTGCTATTAGGTCTCTTTGCACTATCTGTATCATTTTTCTTTTCCTCTTTACCCTCCAATGTTTTATCATCAGTGGAATTTGAAGTTGAACTCGAATTGTTTCCGGTACTTGCATTATTTTTCTTATCCTCGTTATCCACCACTGTTTTATGGTTAGTCGAATTCGAAGTTGAACTCGAATTGGTTCCAATACCTATTCCCTTTTTAGGAGGAGGAGGAGGTGGAATCACTTTCCCCGGTTCATCTGATAGTTTAGGATCCTTCTCGTCAACTGAAGGTTGATTCGCGGAATTCGTTCTATTCAACGAATTCGATCCAATTTCGATCGAGTATCCGGTTAGGGTCCAATTTCTTGGTTGGCGACTGAGAAATCTAAAATCTCAACAATAAGTAATTTTAGTTAAATACTAAATTCTAGAAGAAAACAACAAAAAACGACGATAGTAACTAAAATAAATGATTGAGAAAGATAGGGAAAAGGAAAGAGAAATTACTGGCGGCGCTGCGGCGGTCGTGTCGTTCTTTGTTGAAGATTCATCTGCTAAGAACCGAAACTTCCAAAACGGAGAAGAATTGGAAACATCGGCGACGATCAGAAACAACAAAAACGCCGTCGTAATTGCATATCTATCCATCGCCCTCTAAATAATAATTATATTCTTTCTGGTTTGTTTGTTTGGAAGACTAAGATCTGGAAATTGACAAAACTATTTTAGACGGCGGACTTGAGATTTATGGAATCAGTAGCTCCGTTGAATAAACACGCCTCCGAGCAAAATTAGCAACCCCCGAAAGAACGAAGTAAACAGTAATTAATTAACTAGCGATTAATCTGAATGATAAGGGAGCAAAATTTAGCTGCAAAGCGCGGTTACAATTTTAGGAATGATAGTTTAATATAGGGTTAAGTATAAAAAGTGCCCAATATATGTTTGTTTTTTAATTTAGTGTTTAATATTTATTTAATTTTAGTTTGGTGTCTAATAGATCAAGTAAGTTTCGTTATGATTTAATTCATTTTGAGTAATAGAATAAAATATTAGGCATTAAATTAGAATAAAATAAATGTTAGACACTAAATTAAAAAAACAGATATAAGTTAGACACATTTTGTATAATTAAGCCTTTAATTTAAGATTAAAGAATAGATGTAATTGAAAATAAGATTAAAATATTAATATTTTAAATTGTTCACTAAAAATATCATAAAAAATGTACTATTTTCAGTCCGATGAAAATATAAAGAAAAAAAAACTAATATTTTAGGTTGCATTTGATTGTAAATATTATGTTTTTTATAACATTTTTTATTACCTCCATTTTATGTTGTTCTTTAATCTTAAATTAAACTGTCATTTTTTAGACTTTCCTTGTCACACAGCCATAAGGGTTGAGGTGCCAATGGAACAATACAAATTTTGGTATTATTGGGTTATTTTTAAAATTAATTTTTCTAAATAATTTCTACTTTGAGAAGGAAGAAAAAAAAATTTACTCTTAATGATCATTGAAATCACAACTTAGAAGAGTAAGAGTGTATCAACTAAAAACTTTAACCACGAAATCTAAAAATTATTGACATCTTTCTAGGTTTTTTGAATTAACTAAAATTTGAATATCTGATTTTATGCGATGGATCGACAATATAATTTACCCTATCACTATTTGCATGAAAACAAAAATGAATGCGAGATTCTTGTATTTTTCTAAAAAAATATAAAATTAATATGGTTTTCAAATTATTTTTACACTTAACGTAGTCGTTTAATTCAAAAAACAGACTCAATGTAACCTTTTGATCAATATTTTTTATCGTTAATTGTTACAATACTGACGTTACAGTTTATGATGTTACATCGATGTTGCACGGTGCTAATATGACAGTCCATGATGGTTGATGGGCTAAATTAATTTTTTTTTATCGTATATGACGGCCAAATTAATTTTTTTAAAGTTCATAGACTTCTTTAATTTTTTTAAAAAAAATAAAATTAAATTAATTTTAAATTTTAAATTATTAAAAAAACAAATGTAAAAATACTAGAAAAACGAAATTACTAAAAAAATAATATATATACAAAAATACTATTAAAAATAAAAAATATTTAATAAATTATAAAATTATAAATTATTAAAAAAATATTTAAAATATATATTTAACATATAGATAAAAATAAATTAATTATATTTATATAATCGGATTAATAAAATCCTAATTAATTATATTGTAAGGGCATAATTTTCTGTATGTAAAGTTGTCTATATCACTTTCTAAAATAATGGAAGATAGTGACAATTAAAACATTTCGTACTTCTTGTGTCGTTTTCTTATAGTTTATTGTGTTAAGGTATAGAAAATGTTATGGTATGAACATAATATAAGTTGTAAACTTTTAGTATTTAATTTTAGAAGTGCTCAATTTAGGAGTATAAAAAGCTTCAATTTCCAATTCATCGATTTTTTTTAATAATATAAAGTGATTATAAGATAATATTTGTTTATAAACACTTTTTAATTGTGATAACGTACACATTTTATAGATACAACTGCTCGAACTTAAAACTTTTAAAAAGAATAATATTCTCTTTTATCATTGAAGTTGAACGATGAGTTAAATAAAAGTATAAAGATAAATAGCTAAAAGAGCGACGTTTGACATATAGCGAGACCACTCGATGACTCGAATGAGTAGATGAACTGTTTTATTAATATATCGCCCGAGTCCAACAAAAAGGACACCAAATTGAAATTGAGATTTCAACCACCAACAATATATAATAACATCAAACCAACTCCAAATGAAATGGACATTAAAAAAAATATTTCTGTCCATTTCCTTTTATGTCATCATGAACAAATTTGTATGTCTATTGGATTTGTTTGTTTGGTATCAATAATTAGGGATCATATATTCGATCAAACTTAAGGTAGATTTTTATGAAGATTACGCAGTAAACGAGACTAGATAAATTGTAAGTTATTCGAGTTCGATTCAATTCAATCAAAGTTCAGTTGACACTCGATTTGTGTTCTTAACGAGTCAAAGCAAATTATTTGATATACTGTTTAAAAAATTCATGAACAACTCAAAAAAATAATATATGAAAATTATTTTTTTTCAATTAAGTTATTAACAATATTATCAATAATGTGTTATATATATATAACTTTCATGTAATTAAGATCTAGGTTCGAATATGAGTTTGAGTTTCAATCAAACTAAGTCTGAGAATATTTTGACTTCAATATTTTTTAAGCTTGAGTCGAGCTTCAATTTTTTATTTCGAATTAAAGTAGAACTTGCAATATTGTTCACATCACAAAAAAGAAAGCAAAGATGAGTTCAGAAACTCCTTTTAGTCTCCCTGTCATTAATTTCTCAGAGCAAGAGCTAAAACTAGGCAGTCCCGAATGGGATTCGGCGAAAGTCCGAGTTCGGGAAGCACTGGCAGAGTACGGCTGCTTCGAGGCTTCATTCGACCGAGTCCTGGTGGTCCAAAAGGCATTATTCGGAGCCCTGGAAGAAGTCTTTGACCTGCCTTTACAAACAAAAGAGCTCTATGTTTCCGACAAGCCCGCTCGTGGCTATGTCCCGGTCGAATCGGGACTGCATGAAAACATTATCGTTGATGCCGCAAACATCGCCGAAAACATCGAAACAGGCCTGACTACTACCTATTGGCCTCAAGGAAACACAAATTTCAGGTTTGAAATATAAGCAGAACGCTTTAGTTTGACAGCAAAATTATGGAATTTGCTTCTTTTTCCTTTTTTAATTAAGTATTGCTCTTTTTTTGGCAGTAAAACATTGGTCTCTTTCACCAAGTTAGCATCAACACTAGAGAAGACGGTAAGGAGAATGATTTTGGAGATTTTCGGAGTGGAGAAATACGCCGATGAGTTGATTGAGTCCACGAATTATATTCTCAAGGCCATGAAATATGAAGGGTCTCAAGGCAGGCTGCCATTCTGTGGGGCTCACGCAGACCAAAGTATGGTGACCCTGTTGTATCAAAACGAGGTCAATGGATTAGAGATTCAAAACAAAGATGGAGAATGGATCAATGTAAATCCCTCGCCCAACTCTTTCATCGTCCTCGTCGGAGAATCTCTCAGCGTAAGTCATTTGTTACGACTTCATAAATAACGTAACCATCAATTGTATATTCCAATTATGGCGAGGGTTATCCCATTTATAAGAATAGTAGAATAGTAAAATTGCGAAATGATAACTACTCACTTCAATCACTCCATATATATGAGTAATTCTTCCATTATCCTCATCCGAGGACGTAAACCATAGAATAGTAGAATAATAAAATTGTCAAATGATAACTACTCACTTCAATCACTCCATATATACGAGTAACTCTTTCAGTATCCTCATCGGAGAACGTAAACCGTTTGTTACACTACTCCATATTGTGGCAGGTATTGTTAAACGGTGGATTATCTTCTACTTATCATCGTGTCATAATGAAGGAGAGCACCACAAGGTATTGTGTTGGATTATTTGCAACCCCGAAAGGAGGCTACCAAGTAAAGGTTCCAAAAGAGCTTGTGGATGACAAACATGGTTTGCTCTTCAAACCCTTCGACTACGATGAATTTTGGAAAACTTTCTGTACTCAAATGGCTCAAGGAAACCATAGATTTAGTCTTAAGAATTATTGCAGTACTGTCTGAGATTTCCCCATAAACAATTCATATGTGTGTGTGTGTGTGTGTTTCTTTTGCTCGTGTGTGTCTAAGATCCTGTTATGAATACTTCGTGTGTGTCTCAGATCTTGTTATGAATGTTGTGTAGTTTGATCCATTGTCCTGAATTCTATCCTTGTACTTTCTCGTTAATGAATAATGAAGCATTTTGTTCTTAAAAATTATATATATATTTTTAATATTGAATTATATTTTAAAAAATTAAATTAAATATTTAATCAATTATTATTTTTTTTCCGAATTGATCGATTGGTTAAATAGATCTTTTTATTTCTCTAGAATCTCCCTTTCTTTCCTTTTAGATAAAATTATTATAAAAAAGTATATATTACAAAATGACATAGAGTTTCATCAGGGTAAAATCAATGAGATAATACGTTGAAATTTTTTTTTTCACGAGATAGTACCCTCGCCAGATTAATTGCTCAGATAGGGTGATCTCTACAGTCCCTGGGGTAGGTCGCCATGCACGCCCAGCGACCTACCAGGTCGCCATGCACGCCCCAACACGCTGGGCATCCGAGGCCATCCGACCGAGGCCATCCGAACGAGCTATGCGAGGGCATCCGAGGGCAACCGAGCGAGCTATGCGAGGGAATCCGAGGGCAACCGAGCGAGGGTAGGAGTATTATCTCGTGAATAAAAAAGTTCGAGAATATTATCTCGTGGATTCACCCGTTTCATCAGTGTACAAATACGTCTAATTATTATATTTAAACAATTAATCAATAAATGTGGTCGAGAGATGGGTGAATAGATAATTTTAAAAATGTTATTGAAATTAATTATTTTTTAAATATGTTTATTATGTAGGAGTATATTGAATAGACGAGGATGATACGTGGTAAGCAAGGATAGGACAAAGCAGGTGGAGATAACATGGCTATAATTTATGTTTGCCTCAACCTCGACGTTCATGACAGGTTTATTTTTTGGTTTCATTCTCGTTTTATCACTCAAAATTTTGTACTCATCTTGTTCAATTCCGCAAAACATGCTTCAGTGGCATACCCATGAACACCTTTTAAATAAAACAATTTTTAAGATTATTTCTTTTCGAATAGAAATAAGCTTAAAAAATTAAATCAAGTAAGATTACATAACCGAATATAAGGAGGTCTTATCCCGTCCCTATCCAAAGTCTCATTAATATCTGTGGGGCTGCTGTCAAAGAACTCGAGTTCACCATGGACACCATCATCGAGCTTGATCAGAAAATCAGGCACCATGTTCGCTTTACGTTAAATAAACTTGAAATCGAGATGCTAATTTCTATCAAGTAAGTCGAAAAAGCTCGAATCAAAGCGAGTAGACTATGAGATGAAATGGATGTAACCAGCTCGAAGGCATCAACACTGTCAACCCGCAAAATTAGGTGTCGAAAACCTCTTTCCCATGCTAGCTTTGTGAGCAGTTTAATTAACTGCCCATGTTTTGTGGTTCATATAACCATACCTCAAGTAACCGTGCAATTCCACTCTCCAAAAATGGAGATGTGCATGGACGTGTGGGGAGTTATGTTAAATAATGGGCAGTTTGTTTTATGGGTTTTGATGGCAAAACCAAACTATAAATACCCATTAGCACAAGTTTCCTAAGCATCAATTCATTCAAAGCATTTTCCACATTTAGAAAGTTGGAAAGCAATACACCATCTAGTGAGATTTTGAGTGCTTAGAATATCCTTGACGGTTCTAGCTTTTGTGTAGCCAAGTTCAAAGTGCTCAACATTGGATCATGGTGGTTCACAATGGTCGACGGTGGTCCAACGTAATTGATGGCGGTGCATTCAATTCTCGAATTTTGACATACGGTGTAGGCAATGGATGGAAGTATTTATAAAGATCTCTTTTCCATTGTGTTTATGCTCAATATAGATGAAAGCATGTCTAATATGTATGAAAACATGTCTAAAATTTGGTATCTGAGCATGATTAAATCTCTGTCTTGCCTGATTTTTTAAAGTTTGCAAGTTTCTAGAATTTTTTGATGCCATGATTTTTAAAGTTTGAGAAATTTTGTGTTGCAAACGTATTGCTAATATCGTTAGATTTCATTAAAGATATATTTCTAAAATTAATTATGTGTTGCAACATGGTGGATTGATTCTGGTTCTACAATCCATGTCTCAAACTCTTTATAGGGATTAAGAAATCTAAGGGAACCAGCGGGAGCTTAGTGATACATCTATTCAGGAAATAAGATGTAATCGCATGTGGAAGCTATTGGGACCTACGAATTAGTGCTTAGTAGTGGCTTTGTTTTAATTTTAAAAAAGGCTTTTAATATTCCAAGTTTTTCTAAACATTTAATTTTTGTTTCAAGACTTGCACCATTGGGGTATTGTTTTAATTTTTCAAACAATGAATTCAGTTTATTTTATAAATAAAAAATTGTACAAAATTGAATTTTATTTGATGGTCTTTACTCTTTAAATTTGCAAAATGATGTCACTCATAATGTTATGCATACTCAAATTGGTTCTAAACGTTGTGCAATAAATGAAGATTCCTTTATTTTGTGGCATCGAAGATTAGGACACATCTCCATTGAAAGGATAAAGAGATTAGTAAATGATGAAGTACTTACTACCTTAGATCTTTTCTGATTTCGACACTTGTATAGACTGCATTAAGGGGTAAGTAGAATAACAAGTCAAAGAAAGGTGCCAAGAGGAGTTCGACCATATTGAAAACCATCCATCTGTTGCCCAAATATGGATGTACAAGGTCAGAAATAGTTCATCACTTTTATTGATGATTACTCACGTTATGTGTATCTCTACATGCTTTATCATAAGAGCGAAGCATTAAAAACTTTTAAGGTTTTCAAGGCTGAAGTAGAGAAACAATGCGGTAAGCAAATTAAAATTGTGAGAATTGATAGAGGTGATGAGTATTATGGTAGATATACCGAAGATGGACAAGCATCTGATCTATTTGCGAAGTTTCTTCAAGATAATGGTATAGTTGCCCAATACATCATGCCAGGATTACCTAATCAAAATGGTGTTGTATAAAGAAGAAACCGAACTTTAATGGATACGGTGCGAAGTATACTTAGTAGCTCTAAGCTACCTAAGTCTTTATCGATTGAAGCTCTCAAAATGGTTGTGTATATATTAAATCGAGTTCCAACCAAGGTTGTCCCAAAGACACCATTTGAGTTGTTTAAAGGTTAGAAACCGAGTTTTTGACATATACGCGTATGGGGATGTTCGTCTGAAGTGAGGATTTATAACCCATAAGAAAAGAAACTGCATCCAAGGGCCATTAGTGGGTATTTCATTGGATATGATGAAAGGTCCAAATGATACAAATTCTATTGTCCATCACATAGCACTAAAATTGTGGAATCAAGAAATGAAAACTTTCTTGAGTATGACTCAATCAATGGGAGTGATCTACCTCAGGACTCAGTAGATCAACCTTCCACTTCAAGTGAGAGATTGGTTATCATACAGAGTACACCTTAAGTGCAATCGGGTGTTGAACAACCAATCAATGAAGTTTCACAAGCTACTAAAAATATTCCAGTAGATCAAGTTGTTCAAGAAATTCCAAAAATTATTGAACAACCAGTTGAACAACATGATCCACAAGAAAATGTTGATTCAACATTAAGGAGATCTACCTCAGAAAGAAAATTAGTAATTTCTAGTTACTACATTGTGTATCTACAAGAGTCTGACTTTAATGTTGGAGTTGAAAATGATCCTGAGTGATTTTCACAAGCTATGAGCTGCAATGAATTGAAATTATGGTATGATGCTATGGAAGATGAGATGAATTCCATGAAAAGCAACAATTTTTGGGATCTTTTATAGTTTCATGATGGTGTAAAAGCCATTGGATGTAAATGGGTTTTCAAAACAAACAGAGACTCAATGTGCAACATTGAAATATATAAAGTAATGGGATTCACTCAGCGTAAAAGAATCGATTACATTGAGACTTTCAGTCTAGTATCTAAGAAGGATTCCTTACACATCGTGTTAGCATTAGTAGCTCATTTTGACCTTGAGTTACAACAAATAGACGTGAAAACTGCATTTCTCAATGGTGACCTAGAGGAAAAGATAAACATAAAACAACCTGAAGGTGCACACTTGGTATGCAAGTTGAAAAAGTCAATATATGGATTGAAACAAACCTCTCGACAATGGTATTTAAAATTTCATGAAGTTATCTCTTCATTTGGTTTTGTTGAGAACATCATGGATCAATGTATATCAAAAGGGCAGTGAGAGTAAAATTTGTTTCCTTATCCTATATGTGGATGACATTTTACTCGCAACAAATGACAATGATATGCTACATGAGGTGAAACAATTTGTTTCTAAAATTTTTTATATGAAAGATATAGGTGATGCATCTTATGTCATTGACATTAAGATTCATCGTGATTGACATCGATGTATCTTAGGTCTATCTAGAGAAACATATATCAACAAAGTTTTAGAAAGATTTCAGATGAAAATTGTTCACCTAGTGTTGGTCCTATCGTGAAGGGCGATAAGTTCCATTTGAACCAATGTTCGAAGAACAATTTTGAGAGAGAGCAAATGAAAAAATTCCATATGCTTCAGTTATTGGAAGCCTGAAGTATGCTCAAGTCTGTAGAAGACCTGACATTGCATTTGTTGTTGGAATATTGGGAAGATATCAGAGTAATCCGGGTATTGGCCACTCGAAAGCTGAAAAGAAAGTTTTGAGGTACCTAAAGGGACAAAGGACTACATGCTTACATACAAACGATCAAATAGTTTGGAGGTGATTGGCTACTTCAATTCAGACTTTGCTGGTTGTGTTGATTCACGGAAATCAACATCAAGTTATTTATTTATGTTTGCCAGTGAAGCTATATCTTGGAGGTGTGTCACGCAAACCTTAACAGCTACTTCCACTATTTAGGTTGAGTTTATTTTGAGTTTTGAGTCTACCCCACATGGAGTATGGCTAAGGAGT